GGAGAACGAACGAGGGGCTCGGGGACAGTGCTGTGGCAAATCTGTGCCTCATCCAAGTGGGGACCGCGTGGAGTAGAAACTGCCCCGGAGCTCCGGCCTCGAGTTCCTGCACCAGCATTTATTGAGCGTCTGCTGTGTACCCGGGCTGAGGGCTGGATTCCAGGGACACAGTGCACCAAGGAGACACAGCCTACCCGGCCCCCTCCTGGGGAGCAGACCCCCTGGAGTTGCCATGGCTACAGGTTGGGCCAGGGAGGGCCATCTGACTCGGGCCAGAGTCAAGCCTGGTAGAGAGATCACGTTTCCCAGGAGGGAGTTCGTGTTCCGTCCCAGGCACGCCTCTCACTGCTGGCACCTGCTCCCGAAGGAAGATGCCCGAGGCCTTGAAACCAAAGGCAACGGTGCCAGATCCTTGAGACCCTCTTTAGGGATTCTGGGCGATGGCCTGGAGAGCTAACGGGCCCCCTGGGAGCAGCCTCGGCATTTATCAGAGATTCCTTCTAACGAAGCCCTACTACCGTCACCTCAGCAAGCACCTACTACGTGCGGGGCTCTGGGCACCGTGCTTTCTGGACGCCATTGAACCTGACCCCTCCAGTGCGCCCGAATGGTGAGCAAGTGGGCGCGGAGGGAAGGAGTGCCCGCCCCAGGCCCCACAGCGGGGAGGTGCTGGTGCTCAGGTGTGTGTGACAGCACAGTGCCTTTTCCACTTCACCTTCCGGGGGGCCTTTGGAAAGAGGCCGGGTAGGCAGGCGCATCCTGCCACCCCACATCACACCCGCTTGGCTCACTGGGTCAGAGCTGCAGCAGGGGCGGTGGCACCGGCTCTGAGGGGTCTCTCCACCAGCCGAGCCCTTGCATTCATTCATTCATTCATTCAGCAGGTTCTTGAGCGTCTATTCTGTGACAGGTGTGGCACAAGGTGCGGGGCGGGGGGTGTGGCAACCGTCTCCACCGAGGCTGAGACCTCGCTGGCACCAGGCTGCCGGCATCTTAAAACCCACCACTGAGTTTAATCCCTTTGGATTTAGGCACAGGATCACCAGGAACCACCCCGCCCCATACCTCAAAATGTAAGAGGCGTGGGAGGTGTGGTCCGTTGAACGTGCATTTTTAGAGCGTCGCTCTTGCAGGGCGGAGAGAACAGTCCATTGGTGAGCTCCGGAAGGGAGAGAGAGAGAGGGGAGACCACGTGGTGGAGGGGTGGCAAATGGTTTCATCGGGCCCCCAGTGCTCTCTGAGGGACAGAGGCCGACCGGAGGGCTGGACTGCAGAGGAACCTGAGGCCAAGTGCAGCCAGCAGGAACCAGTGGTATGACCAGTTGCCGTTGCGGTGGGAGCAGCCTGGGTGACCTGTGTCTGCCCATCCTTTGGGGTGCTGCTGGGGATCGGGCTCGCGGGGAGCCCTAGTGGAGGCTCCTGCAGAGAAAGGCCTGGAAGCAAGAGAGTGCAGGGTGCAGAGGGTGGAATGGAAAGGCGGGCGTCAGGCTCCAGCCCACCTCCCCAGATGCCGGGGTCTAGCTCTGTTTGCTCCCTAGGCCCGCGATTGGCTCTTCCCCAGGAGCCATGGGTCTTGCTGTCATAGCCCTGGCTCTGCGGGGAGGGGGGCTGCCCTCAATGCCAGAGGCATTGAAGGGCCCCATGGCCACCCCGAAAGCCACCGGGACCTACTCGTCTCTCTCCGGAATCCGCTTTCAGACCCCTCCCGAGGGGCAAGGGCCCAAGTGTCTCTGAACACACCCCATTCCCCAACTCTACAGCCCAGCCCCAGAAACCTGCAGGGCAAAGTTGCTGGGCCCAGCCCGCTTCCGGCCTGCACCCGCCTGCAAATCCACCAGGGCTGGCAACTGGCCCAGGAGAGGTCTTTCTCCCTCCCCGGTCCCCAGGGCAGAGGGCGGCTGGTAACCAGATGTCCCCATTCGGGGTGGGGGTGCCACTCAAGGCAAAAGGTTTAGGGCGTTCCCCATGTATGGCTCTACCAAGCGGCCAGCAGGAGACTCTGACCAAGCCCGGGGCACCTTGACTCCCGCACTCCTCCAGCCCCCGCCCTGCCCACAATCTCCAACTCTGCTCCGTCTTGTTTCAAGGAAAATTCCTACAGGAGCCAGGGAGATGGTCAGACACTGAGGCCCAGCCTGGCCCACAGCCACCCTGACAGCCATCCCGGACGGGGCAGGACGCCCCGCGGGAGGCCTGCGCCAGTCCCGTCCAGAGCCGGACAAGGGGTCGACTGCAGGGGCCTCCAGGGCAGGCCGGAGACACCCTGGTGGGCAGTAAGGGGGGGCCTCCGCACCTCCGCCCACACCCATTCCACTTTGAGCCCAGTCCTAGAAAGCAAGCGTGGGCAAGAATGAGTGACTAGAGGGGATGCCGGGAGCTCACGTCTCCCGCTCACAGCCCCGAGTCCCTCCCCGCGAGGCTGAAGGACAAGGGTCCGAGGACCCAGGCTGCCACAGCAGAACTCCCCCCAGCAGGGCCCCGAGCACCCCAAACCCCAGGCTCGCTGGGCTGCCTTGAGGGAGTGGAGAGAAGCGCCTTGCGCACGCTTCGATGGTCCTTTTCCACTCTGCCCTCCAGGGGGGCGGCCGGTTCCTTGCACCGTGCGGGGGGGGTGCTCAGGGAGACGCCCTCGTTCCTGTCCAGGGAGCTGCCTTAGTCTCCCTCGACTTTAAGAGAAGGCGGGTTTCAGCAGGTAAAGACAGGAAAACAAATTAATAACCCTAGGCCCACGGAGTTGTCACATCACCAAGAAGGAGTGCCCGGGGGTGGGGTGGGGGGAGGTATCACCTCCACCTAAATATCTGGCCTCTCGGGGCAGGGAGGTGAGGCTGCTTCTAAACACCCATTTCCCCCTCCAGTGGATCCACAGACAGGGCTGCCTTAGGCAGTGAGTGCAGGAGGACCTCTCCATTCTTCCTTTCCTCTGTGAGCTGTCACCGCCACCCTGCCCCGGGGCCCTCAGCCACCCCCAGCGCCAGGAGCAGGGTCCCACACAAGGGGCTAGCCCCTGAAGACATAAACCCGATGGCAAGCTTCTGTCCGGTGAGGACACCCAGCAGCACGACTGTATCTACAGAATTCTTTTCATCTTTGTTTTGATGGGTGAAGTTCAGTGCCAGAATATTTGGTTTATGAGTCATGCTAATTATAGCTGGGGGTGGGGAGGGCCCAAGGCACCAGGAAGAACAACAGAAAGCACGTTCTGAAAGATTATGCTGGGTTGCCCTGGATAGGAAGGTTTACAGCCCGGGAATGAAGGAGGGAGACGTCTGTGCACCTTTCTGGGATCAGGTCAGCTTCTCACTGTCCACCTGTGAGGGTGCCTCTCGCTGGCTGGCTGCACCTGTCCCGGGCGGGCAGAGGCCTCCTCTGGCCGGCTGGAGCCCCACCAAAGATCCCCCCTGCACCCTTGTTTCTCTGTCTCCTTGACCTGCTGCTCACTGGGAACACCAGAGGCTGGAGAAGGGAGAAGGGGGAGGGAGAGAACCAGAGGAGACGGCAGCATTCCTGGGAAACGGAACGTGGCTGTCCGTCCTGCCCTGGGCGCTTTCTCCGTGGACAGCTGGGAAATGGATTTTTGCAGACTTGAGAAGCTCAGGTCCCAGCCTCAGTTTGGACAGCTGGGCATCCTTGAGCAAGTTACATGCCCTCTCTGGGCACAGAGATGCTGGTCCTCCGTCGGGTCCTCTATCTACTGTCTGTGAGCAAGTCACGAGCCTCTCTGAGCTCTTCGGGGGTGAGAGTGACGTTGATGGAGTCATCGAGAATCCACGTTTGCTCAGCGCCTGCCGTGTGGGACACACACACACGCGCGTGCGCACACACACGCATGCACACGCACACACGTGCACCCACGGCCACCGTTATTTTCATTGCCATCATTGTAACAGGTCACCCTAAGCTCCTCTCAGCTCTCAGGTCAAGGGAGGGGGAGGAACGCAGGACAGGAGAACCCAACCCTCTGCCCCCCATCTCCCCTTCCTCTGAATTTCTTCCCTCCTCCTGTTGCTGGGAACGCTGGGCAGGCTTCCCCTTGTAGCAAACACAACAGTCAAATGCAATCTAGTTGTGACCTTGCATGTGGGGCTGGCTGCGTGCTTTCCTACCCTATAAAAAGCAAAGGCCCGGCAGCCTTCGAGGACCGCACATCCTCCCCCAGGGACCTGGGGTGTCGCTCATGGTTGAGAAAACTCAGTTTCCCAGGACACGCCTCATTTTCAAAGCTCAGAAAGAAGGATCTCCAGTGTGCCAAACTGCCTCCATTCCTGGAAATGAAGTGACATGGAAGGGACGGACAAGTCGCAGAGGGAGGCCACTTCCTCCGATGGACCGGGAGGGACCCGGAGGGCCCGTGTGCACCCCCAGAGGACACGGGGCTGCCCAGGAGTCGGCACACTGGGAGCCAGGCTAACATGATGGGGGTGCCCAGGACAGGTGGGGACCACACCTGTCCCCATGGAACGCCTAGAAGAACAGGGCGGTGCATGCTGGCTCGACCCAGGGAGGTGTTTGAGGTCCAGAAACGCAAAGACAGCTGGGTGACTCGGCCCCAGGCCAGGCATGGTTCTCAGTGGTGCAGGCAGCCCAGGAGCGTCCCCAGGGAAAGGGACATTATTCTCCCCTGTTCAGACTGATTCTCCTCCAGGAGCACCAAGACCATCAGATGCCGGGGCCAAAGTCAGCGTTTCCTGTTCTGTGTGGGGTCCAAACTGGCCACCGCAGGGCAAACCTGTCTCTCAGGTGACCCAGGCAATATCGGGGCGGGGCCCCCCTCGGGACAGCGGGGACTCGGGTGCCACTCCTTTTCCTCTCACACCTTGAGAAGTGTGAAGCGAGATAATCAGCCCACAAACACGAGGGGAGGCACAGTCATTCCCCGACGCCATCCAGCTGCCACAGAGCCCCTGCTCCCTCGTCACAAGGGGAGACGGCGACCCGGAGCCGCGGAACGGGAGCGGAGCGGCCCCCGTGGCATCCCGCCCGCCAGAGCCGCCACCTACCTCCGGCCAGCGTCCTGGGGCGGCCTCTCGGGCTTAGAGCATCTCCCAGCAGCGTCGTAGCCTCCTCCCAGCCAGGTCGGAGGGGGGCAGAACAGCCTGGTCAGCGGAGAGAGCGAGAAGGAAGGAAAAAGTCCTCCGGGAAGAAGGTGCACAATGGGGGCGGGGGGGGGGGGGGCGGGGGGGGCAGCCACCCGCCGGTCCCTGCCTTCCCGGCACCTTGACCTCCTCTGTTCCAAGCTCTCTCTGGCCAGAAGCGGAAGCGCGGTTTCTCGAAAGTAAAGGAAGAGCTGAAGAGAGCAAGACAGACTCGTAAAGAGCAAACCCCAGCCAGATGTGAGCGGGGCCGCGGAGCCTCCAACGCTCCCAGTGCATATTATCCAAACAGCAGCCGCCGAGGATTAACTGTGTGTGTGCCCGGCGGGCAGGGGAAAGCCAGCGCTGCCCTACCCCTGGCCACCCTGGGGAGCCGGCCCAGGCCGGCGGGTACGGGTGACCACTCCCAGCCTCCGGAAGTCCCTCCAGGTGTGGGGGTGGCTGGGGGCCGAGGACAAAGAGCGTTGGGAACCCCGACTTGCTGGGCGCTGGAGGATGGGCTCCAAGCAGCCCCGGGGGCACTTGTAGCCAATGCTGTGGAATCAAGTCCCCCAACGGCGGCAGACCCAAGAGATTTTCAATCAGAGGCTCCCCCTGGGGTCCAGGAACCACAGACAGGTTTTGGGGAACCTGTGACCCCCCTCCCCCTAAAAAAAAAACAATGCAAAGCTGTGTGTGCACGCACGTGGGCACACATGTGCACTGTCAGACAGGGACGGACTTTTGCTTTGATCAGACTCTCAGAGAGCCCCATGAAGACCCCAGGCTGGGGGTGCAGACTTTCCAGAGGACCGTGTGGCCAGGGGACAACGAGGAGGGACATCAGCATCTCTAGATTTCTATCAGCCTCTGGTTCCTTGATATGAAACCCAGGCCTTTTCCCCAACTTAATCGCACAAGGTCTCACCAGGCCCCTTGGGCCCCTCCTCACACGCCGATAGCTGCTACAGGCTTCTCTGGAGCTGCCCCCGGGCCGGGCTGGTCTCCATCCTGAGTCAGAACGGACAGTTCTGGAGTCTTATCGTATCGCAAAAAGAGGAAGGATCTGGCCACAGTAACGGAGCTGCGCTGTGGCGATAACAGCATTCTTGCTTGCTTCTTTCTGAGCCACGTTCCCACGTTCTCCGCGAGCTTCGTGGACGTCACACCTGTGCCTGTTTGTCATTTATCACCGCTCCTCCCGAGGGCCCCTCTCTCTGGCTACCCGCGGACAGGAGATGTACAAACAGGGGTGCTGGTTTGGGGTGTTGCGGGCAAGGCACAGAGACCGCACCCCACCCCACCTTGCCTTGGAAATCCCTTCCCGCCACTGCTGCCCACGTGTCTGCCCGAAAGGCTGAGAAGTCGAGAGGAAAGGGGGCTGTGCAAGCCTGACACCCATCAGGCTCACCAGGTTGCCAGCAGAGCAGGGAACGTGGAGGTGGAAGGGGAGGGAAGGCTTGGGCGGCCCGGTGGCCGCTCCGCAGAGACACCGGCAGCCCAGCTGCTCCTGTGGGAACAAAGGGGGAAGTGCCCTGACGCCCAGTGGCCCTGGGGGGCTCCAAGGGCACTACGGCAAGATCAAGTAAACACGGCCCATCGGAGACGGCGTTTCGGCTGGTGTGAGAAGATCCAGGAATCGCTCGTGATCTCTGGCGTGTGTCTGAGGCCTGGCGAAACTTACAACATCCCTGGCTGCTTATCGACACGGGAAGCCCGGAGATAAGCGCGTCTTCGTTTCTGTGCGCAACACGAGGAACTTTCCTGGTCAGCAGGACCCAGGCCTAGCGCCCTGACGGACCTTCCGCCGGTCGCTCGCTCTGTCCTCGGATGGCCTTCGTGGCGGGGATACTGGAGGAGAGTCCTCAGAATTCCCGTGCCCCAGGATCTCCCTGAATGCGGAGGGAACCCTCTCCACTGCAGCACCCCGGAGGCCCAGACCTTGGGGGTCCTGGACGGACACCACGGCTCAGGGCACACGACGCCGGGCGTGTGGCTTGGAAGAGAAGCTGACGCAGAGATCTGCTCCCTTTCCTTACTCCGTCTGAGAACTGAAAGACAGTTATCTTGAAGATAATCCCAAGACAGAAATCCAGGGGCCCGACAGAGAGCAGGGCTCTAGAAATACACCCACACGATGGCCCTCTCTTCCAGCGGCAGCTTCTCGTTCTAGGCGGCGGCCTTAAGTCCTGAGCCTGGAATGCTGTCCAACCCCAATGGGCCTTAGTTTCCTCATCTGTAAAGCAGGGATAGGCCCAGGACCTCTTCTCTGGACCCCAGGCAGCCAGATGTGTTCAGAGGACGATGCAGACATCACCCGGAGCATCTCGCCCCGCCGGGCTCGGCCGGATGCTTGTGGATATTTCCCAACAGAGGAGAGACAGAAGCCGTGCGTGGCCTCACCACACTACAGGTCACACTGTCCTGTGCCCTCACGCCACACTCAGGGGGAAACCACGCTGTCAGGGCTTTTTGTATCTGGGGGACTTGGGGTTAAAGGATTGTGACTCTGTAATTGTCACACGGCTGAGGAAAGGACCGACGGAGCAGACACAAGGCCCGAGAGTGTTCGTTGCAACGGTCATGACTGTATGATCTTGTTCCTTCCCTCCTCTTGGGTTGAGCGCCCACATCTCCCCAGAGATCAGGAAAGGGATTCCTCCTATCTCTTGAGGCAGAAACCAGGAGGGTGACGGGTGCTGATGGTAAAGGTGGCAGTCAGGACCTGGGGTTTCCCAAGATGTCCACGTGAGACAGAAGGCTCAGAGGCGTGGGGAGTTCCAGAGAAAAGGAACTGCTGTCTGAGCACCTCCTGGGCACACAGCCCGCAGCTCAAGCCAACGGACAAATGGGCAAAATTTCTCAAGGCCAGTTCAGCCCTCAGCGAAAGAAATAAAATCTGTCACCCAAACCCAGAGCTAGTCAGGCCCCTAATGCTCTTTGTCACCCACTTCATTGTTGTTTTGACACGGTAAGTAGGAAAGCCACGTTGGGCAAGCCAGGGATGGTCTTTCAGACTATTTGAGCACCCCCCCGAGCAACCGAGGCAGAAGGCTCCCGATCCAGCAAATATCTTCCCGTTGGAAAGTCCTGGCCAGCGCTGAGGACAAGAGTCATGGCCAAAACAAAACAAAACAGAACAACATTGACAAATCAGAACCCAAAGCCAGCAGCACTGCCTGGGGGAGATTTCATCAGCCCAGTGATGGGCAGAGGCCAGGGCCAACCAGAACCATGAACCCCCACACCCCCAAGGTCTCTCTCTTCGGTTCCCAAATGAGTTACAGGTCACGCCCATTCTGGAATTCCCTGGGAGCTCACACCTCCCACACAAGGATGTCTGGGCCAAACACCAGGGCTTCCTAAACATTCCCCAGGGGCCCCACGTTCTCAGACAAGGGCAGCTCATGGGATGTAAAACCCAGAGACTCACGGGGGAAGAGAACATTCCCTAGAATCCCTGCCCAGAAGACAGCACATTCTATGTCCTCTGTTTGGCAATCCCTTCTCTCTCCCTGGGCATATCACTGCGGCTCTCTCTGTTTTCTCATCACGGGGAGAAAGCCATGTGACCTCGGTTAACGTCTGCAAGGCGCTCGGTGCCAGATACGCACAGCCTGTCATTAGGAGCGCTGTGATTTTTTTTTTCCCCACTGTGGCCCCAACATTCCGCCTCTCCCAGCTATTTTGGGCCAGGCTGCCCAGTCATCCCACAAGGGCAGAGACTGGTATTGTGAACTTCTGAATTCAGGCTCGGATGCTGGCGTCCCACTGCCAAAGGGTGGGGGGGGGGGGGGGAAGGCGTCTCTGTGGACATTGGAGGGTGAAGCCGAGATGGAAACTTGGCGGCCAGACCCAGCCTCCCTGGCCGCGGGCCCAAGCTCGTTGCTCCTGGATGGCAGTGCCCGCGTTCTGGAAGGCTGGGGGGCAGGTGGGGATCAGGGCTGCAAGGACAGAACAGGGCCATCTGCTGCTCTGCGGCTCTCACACCTCCTCTGTCGGAGGAGGACAAGCCTTCCTCTGGCCCCCCCTGGGCCCCCTCTGGTCCCCCCTGGACTCGACGCAGAGACGGGCGGCCAGGGAGACCTTATGTGCTTTCTGACTCTCAGCAGGCATTTAACGCCCCATGCCTCGGTTTCCCCACTGCTCAGTCTTAGAACTTCCTTTTCAGCACTTTCAGAGACGTGCACAGACGGAACCATCAGGCAGCATTTTGCCTGCTAGATAAAATGGGAGGGCCCCCTGGTGGACCACACAAGCCTAAGCCTTAACTGCGCAATGAGTGAGTGAGGCTGTGAGTAAACACACGGTGGATGATTAAAGTGAAGAATTTTCAGTCTTTTATGTAGAGCCACAGGAACAAAAGGAGGAGAAAAGCTCCAGAAAAAGGCCATGGCGAAGTCTCCAATGTTGCAAAGGAGGGAAGGGGGATTCAGATCGCAGGAGGTGCCCACGAAAAGCAGTTTCCCGGCACCGCCTGTCCGGAAGGCAGGAAGGCAGGGTCTATTCACCAGGGGATGCAAACGCCCTCTGACCTAGAAATCTTCCTTCCAGGAATTTATCCTGCAGATAGACTTGGTGCTGTGCTCAAAGAAGCAAGTTCAAGGATATGCCCTGAAGCGAAGCATTGTTGTAATGTAAAGATCACAGATATCCAAAGGGACGGCATTGGGGACCTGGTAAATAAGTAACAGGACATTCCCCCCAGCGGAATACTATGCAGCTGTTTAGAGAACGGAACACCTCTCTACGGAACCATACGGAAAAAGCCGTGTTGTGAAGAGAAAACTTACAAACCTCATTGAAAAACATTAACAAAGACCTAAGTAAATGGAAAGGCAAACCATGTTCTGGGTAGAAGGTTCAACATCAGAGAAATCTCAGTTCTCTCTGAATTAATTTATGGATTTAAAGCAATTCCATTCAAAACCCCAAAAGTGAAGGGTGGATGGAATGTAGGAGGGAGGTGAGGGGGAATTGTCCTACAGCACATGAAGGTTTATTCTTTTTTTTAATTTTTTAATGTTTATTTTATTTTTGAGAGAGAGAGACAAAGTGTGAGTGGGGGAAGGGCAGAGAGAGAGGGAGACACCGAATCCCAAGCAGGCTTCAGGCTCCGAGCCGTCAGCACGGAGACCGACGCGGGGCTTGAACTTGGGAATGGCAAGATCGTGACTAGATCGGAAGTCAGACGCTTAACCGACTGAGCCACCCAGGCGCCCGAAAGGTGAGAGAGGTAAGAATAAGAACAGTAGTATTGGAGTGCAGATAAAAGCAACTATACTGATACGACATCATAGAAAGTCCTGAACAGA